ATTCCGCCCGGCATTAGCTCTCCGACCAAAATCATATATGTATATCCCAAAAATTTTTTTACTATGAGAGGGTGGTAACGTGTAAACCACCAAATCAAATTGGTCTGGTCTTACCGAAAAAAACCGATATTTTTTTGTCATTTAACATCGTCATCGTCATCATGGAGAAGGATTATTCAGTATCGGCACAAAGATTTCCTCCAACTCTGTTTTTATTATAAAGACCTATTTTTATTTAATCTATGATTATTTAAAAAAATTTTTTTGGGTGACTTGTCCATTACAAGATTAGTGAGAAAAAAATAATTAAAATATCACGACACATTAGTAAAATACTTTTTAAGCAATATAAATATTATATTTGATATAGTAATAGCCCTCAACTATAATGACCAATTCGAGCATGCATGATTATTCAGTACGTACGTACGTACATATTTTCTTAAATGTAGTATAAATTCTTTTTAAAATAATTTTACAAGTTTATAAAAATTTATGTTTGCCAAGACTCAAAAAAATAAGGCTCAAACAATTACGCTTGCCAAGACTCCCAAAAAATAATACCCAAAACATTACGGTTGTCAAAATTAAGGTTATCAAAAAAAAAACAGATATACTATTTCCAAACAAAAATATAATGTATAATAAACAAGACTGTCGAAAAAAAAGCAAATATGGTTATCAAGACTTTCAAGACTGTCAAAAAAAATACTGCATACATTATGTGTGCAAATTCGTCTGCCAAGACTATCAAAAAATAGGATATACAAATAAGATATACAAAATTGTTTGCCAAGACTTAAAAAATATTACTAATTCGTTTGCCAAGATAAAAAAATATATATATACTTTATATATATATATATGTCAACAATCGTCAAAAAAACAAATTAAAAATATATCTGTCAAAACTGTTAAAATTCGTTTGCCAAGACGGAAGTAAAAAAAGTTTAAAAACTCGGCGTTATTTTTGTTTTTTATAAATATTTTGTCTATTATAAAATCTTAAAAAGGAATTATTCCATACTTTTTTGGATTTCAGTATTTTAAATTTAAAAAATGTTCACGATTAAGAACAAAATAATACTTTATTAGAAAATACTTTCTTGAATTCTTTATTAGTATTGAATAAGAACAAAATAACACTTTCTTAGAATTCTTTATTAGTATTGAATAAGAACAAAATAATACTTTCTTAGAATTCTTTATTAGTATTGAATAAGAACAAAATAATACTTTCTTAGAATTCTTTATGGGTATTGAATAAATGGGCATATGCTAAAGTAAATAGAGAAGTACTATGAATAAAGGGCATATGCTAACAGAAAGTAAATAGAGAAGTACTAAATTAACATTAAAATTAACTAAAATGGTTCTAAAAATACAATGAAAATAATTGTAAAATTAATAAGAATTTTTTAATGGCTAAAGGGTACGTACAATTTTCGAGAACCAATTCTGCATATTTAAAGAAATATAAAAAAATAACAATATTTCTTTAAAAATAAATGAATTGAAAATAAAAAGAAAATGTTATCCAACTTTTGATTACTTTTTTTTTTTAATTTCAACCTCATTTTAAAATTTCCAATCGCACCTCTATATATTAAACAGCCGATTGGATTGATATTTAGTATATTTTACATTTGGGACACAATGATTTCCATTCATCAGGTGGGTTTAACTTTTTGATTTTATCTGGTATCACGACGAATTGTGCAACTAATCCTGATTGTACATGCCACTATGAATTTATAAAATATGAAGATATATATAAATATATGTTAGAATCAATAACAAAGAAACAGATTTGTAATAAAAATTTAGAGGAAAAATTACCTCAATGTGACAGTGGAATCCCCATACACCAGGATTATCTGCTACAAATCGGAGAACGGTCCATCTGATAATAAAATAAAATTAAATTATTATATTTTTATATTTTTGTTGTATTGATTAAATTTATATTCATAAATCAACTATAGTATACAGAAAGGACAAAAAGTTATACACACCCGTCAGCAGGAATGGTTGTAGTATCACGTTCTATCGGGTCAATGGTATTTAGAGTTTTATAATCTGGAGTAGTGTCTTTTCCACCGCTACCAAGTACCCAGAATACGAAACCATGCTAATTAATAGAAATTACAGAATTAGAGAAATTAGTTAACTATTAATTAATAATATTATTATTGATTATTATTTATTAGTTCTGTATTGTCGCGAAATAACAGACATATTAAGCTTGATTTAGGCCGAAATTCGTTGCGCGTTATTAGCGATAATACGGTACTTGTAATTATTAATAAGAATACATACCAAATGGAAGGGATGTTCACCATGGTCCTTGTCTAATTAATTAATTAATTAATTAATTATATATGTATATGTAGACTAATACAATAAAGACAAATTTTAATAATAAAAGATTCATACTTATTAAAATAATATCTATAATTTCCTTTTTTCCAATTACGAAAGCATTTTGATCAGCATCAAATTCGGTTATACCATCATAAACTTTATTAAGAGTAGGATATTTCACATCAATGTTAAAAGTAACATTATTTATGTAACCTCTGGTAACATTGTGTTCATCAGGTTTGAAGTCAATAACCATTTCGATTTTGCGAGTAACATCAGGAATTTTTTTAGATTTATAAGGTTTTAAATCTTTAGAATCCAAATCTACACACTCATCAACTTTGTCAGTCCAAGCAGTAGTAGAAGGACATTTTTCATCTTCACAACCATCATAAGAAACAACAGCTTTTACTAGAGGATCGAGATTTTCAGGTTTTGTTGGGAAACAACCGACTTCCATTTCCGAACGCATCCAATATTTTTTTTTAGGTTTATCAGCAGTCACTATAACCGAATAACGTTGGGCTACGTTAATAGGGAGGCGATGGACATTATGACGCTTGGTGATCGTTCCTTCAACCTCAATTACATCCAAAGGATGCTCATCGATTGAGAAAATAAAAGCGGAAAAGGCGCTAAATTATTGACAAAATATACAGTATATGTATTTGTAAATATATATGAATATATATATAATAATAATAAATTATAGAAATGACGAATAAATTACCTGGTATTAATAATTCTAATTCTATATTTTTTTCCATGAACGAATTTGAACTGTGCCAATGGAGCATCATCAACGCAAACACTATCTTTTGGAGCCCAAGAACAATTATAATGATTTTTTCCATTAATCAAACCATTATCTGGAGAAGGTTCATTTCCTTCACTTTCAGGAGATAAAAAAGTGGCTAATAATTTTTTGGAACCTTCATGATACCAATCTTGTAATAATACGATAATTTCTTCATCATATTCTTTACGGTAAGGATCATTAGGTTCATGAATTACAAGGGGACCGACAAGACCTTCAATATATTGAGCTCTTGAGTGAGAATGGCTAAAAAAAAAAAAAAAAAAAAACCATAAAAATCGCAAAAATCACGTGTAGCATATATTTTTAGCAGCAATAGATTATATACTTACTACCAATAGGTTCCACTTTGACAAACTTTATATTTATAAGTAAAAGTTTCATGAGGTGGAATACCACATTGAGTTTGACCAGGAACACCATCAAACCAAGGAGTACCGCGTTGAAAGATTCCATGAGAATGAATAGTAGTATCTTCATCTAATTCATTTTTAACATTGAGAACTATGGTATCATCTTTATCAGCTTCAATAAGAGGACCAGGGAATTGGCCATTTATGAGATATATATCGCGTTTAAAGCCGTCAGGAGAGCAAGGGCCTTTAGTGATAGTAAGATTATAAACTCTTTCTTTATTTCTTTTGTCAAGGGTTGGGGAAGATAGAGATTGATTCGGAAGTAATGAAAGGAGGGTTAAAATATAGACCAGCGCCAAAATCCTTTGGGAAAACATTTTTTATGATCAAAATTAATGATCAAGAAGTTAGAGACAAAGAGACCGAATGAATTAATGAGGTGTATATATATATAAAAGAAATGGCTATAACTTACCATCAAGAGTAAATTCACCTGTCACAAGTAAATAATAATTTATAAAGACATCTTTGTATTGGCAAAAAAAACGCAAAGTTATTTATTAAAGTTAAATGAAATTTTTTCTATTGAATTATATTAGGCAATAGAAAAAAATATAAAAGAATATATTACAACGAGGAATGTTTACAACGGTACAAATGCAACGTAAATACGCGTATGTGTATGTATGTGTATGTTCATACGTACATGCGTATTTGTGTTAATGATAAACGATTGTAAAAAATATAACAAATTCCATTGTTACATGAAATACAGTATATGTTGTACGTAACAAGTTTTTCATATTTTAAACATATTTCCGTTTTCTGAATTCTAAGTAACACATGTAATATTGCAAGTACGTACGTACGTACGTCGTACGTACTTAGTTAAAGTATGTAGCAGCATATATTGATATACATACAAACGCCCCCTCCCTTGACCTCCTTGATTTTTGACCAATCAACTTTCAAGTAACGTAAAATCCGTACAACGCAGTTTTTTCTTGGCAAAAAATAAAATCATACAAACGGATTACTTAATCGCATATTGAAAAAAATTATTACCGGAATAAAATTTGTGAATAAATTTGCAAAAATTTATCAAACAAAACAATTTACAATTCATTGAAAATGAAAGAACAATTTGTCCAATAGTAGAATTAAAGAGGATAAAAGATTTGATGATAACTAATGCTATACAATAGCACTGTACATTATGTACATAATATACATTATGATTGCACTTTTTAATACTATTCTAAATTTTTAATATTATTAAATTTTTAATGCTATTGTAAAATTTTAATACTATTTGTTATACGTACGCTGTCATAATGTACAATATGAGTGTCGCTAAAAGAAAACCCGACAATTTAAATATGACTTATATTTAAATTTTCGGGTTTTCTTTTAGCGACACTCATATGTAATAATATACAATTTTATTGCAACTTATTTAGTATGAGAGAGATTTCTTCAAAATCTGTTAGTACGAATGTAAATGCGTATTGTGCATGTATGCGTGTTGCTCTCCCACTCGGATGGTAACAACGCATATATAGACATTTTGATCGGATTAAATATATCATTTTTATATCAGTATTTTTATTAGTTAACAAGATAATCTTTAAACGACGGGTTAGAATAAGCACATAAATACACAATATCTTGTGTGAATCAATTTATTAGAGACTTTTGCTTTGTATTTTCTGTCAAGATACATGTGATCAAAATAACTTATACGTATCAAATTAAAGATATCAAATTAAAGAAATAATTAAAACAACCCCTTATAATTACATTTTCTAAATGTACTCCTTTATAAATACATATGTGTTTATGGAAGTTCTCAGAGAGCATATATAAAAGTTTGATTCTAATTAGTTTGATATGAAATTATGATTATATTCGTTATACGCATTCTTAGCTAAACAAATAATATTACGTAGATATATTGATAATGTTGGTATGAAAAGTTTAAGCCTACTTACATTTTCACGTAACGTATGTATCGTACGTACGTACCTGTAGCCTACGAATATTCTTAAAAAAAAACCATTTTTTATCTTTATGGTGGAATTAATGGTAATATTAATTTTGTTTGTTTTACATACGCACGCACGTATGTACGCCAATGATACAATGAAGGGTATATGTCGCAGATCATAATGGAATCAGGAAATCGTAAGTTTTACAACGAAAATTAGTTTCCTTTTTAAGCCTCTAAAATCCATTTATATAATTCACCAAATATTAATCAAACTCTCAAAAAAATACACCCCATAAAATTTTTTGATACGACGCTAAATTTCAATTTCATTTTAATCTGTAGCTTTAAATGATATATTATCGTTGAGTTCCATATTTGTTATGCAAAGATTACACGTACGTACACGACACACATGCGCAAGTATTGTACGTGCGTATGTATATACGTATGGGTTGTCAACCATCAACAGTCGTCTAAAGATGGTAACAAGTAAATTAACTATCTCGTTTATCAATTATTGACTGAAAGCTATGCCCATG